CCAGATCAAACCGTTTGCATGCGGTCACGTGACCCTTAGTTAAGCCACAGTTCCTGTGGTGCACGCGCTGCGGCGCTAACAACGTCTGGTGGCACCGTAGGGCCGGGGTGTGCAGTCGGGTGACTTTGAAGGCGTTCCGTTCGCATGCATGCATGCTTGTGAGCCATGCAGGGATGCCAAGCCACGGCCGGGTGGGCTCGCGCCCCCCCGGACCCCCCTGCTTGATGCGGGCGCTTCAAAGCTACGCCTGCCTCAGGCAGGCTGCCTACTGAGCCTTGGCACGGCCCTTGGCCTGAAGCTGGAACTGTGGCTTGACATCCCCCCTCAAAACCTCGTGTGCGCCTCATGCGGCCCCTCCGCCCGCGCAGCATGCCCTTTATGCGCCCCCCTACTAATGGCATCGCCCGCACCCTGGGGCCCCCGGTTCTTGATCCCTGTCTTGCTCATCTTCCCGCTTGCGGGGGGATGAGCGAGTGCTTATCCACGAAGCCTTGTTTTGGATTGCCTTTAGCTCGCCTGTTGGCTGGGCCGCCAGGGTAGTCGCTGAGAACACGGTTTCTGATCCTGGCCAGTGGCTGCGGCGCCCAAATCGGGCGCGGAGAAGAGAACAGCATCCTCACCCCCAAAATTTTAACGCTGTTTTGCCAATCTGTTTCAGTTACCATCTCTTGTGCGGCACTCGCTTGCAGCCGGGGTTGGGCATGGCCTGCCCCCCGTCACCCACGGCCCAGCTGGCGATCCCAGTCAGCGTGCCCGCCTGTCGCCCCGCCACCTGCCCGCGCTGTCCAGCATCCCTTGATCTTTGCATATTCCTGAGCCGCGTCCTATTCTATTGCCGTGTGTTTTCACGAGCCCCAGAAATCACGGTAGTACCGTTGAAACGCACGACCAAACCCAAGCTCTCGTCGATCACAGGATGAAGCTCTCCGACGTCAAGTGCCCCTTCAACAGTAAGCGGTGCTGACAGATCCTACGCCCCGAGGAGGTCCGTATTTTGGTTGAGGGACGGAGTCGCCGGTCGACGGGTCCCGTTGATCTTGTACACTCGCGTGCCGCTGACTCAGTGCCACATACTCATTGAATCCGTTCAGGCGACACCGGAACGCTCGCGTTCACTGGCGTCCTGGGCGCTGCGCACGCGGCCGCGTTGATCATCAGCCCCAAGAGAATCAACGTGAGAATGATAAATTTTGCTGGTTTTATGGTTATATGTGGGTCGCCGAGAGCGGGGTTTCTAAAGCAACGACCGATGTGATCTTCCTGCGGCATGCTCTCGACTGACTGGGGTCGCTTCCTCGCCCTAGCTGCGCCTAAGATTTTGGAACGGTATCTTCGACATGACATGCCGCCCCAGGGTCGGTCAGGGCTAGTTTCAGACGTGGCCACTGGGGCCACATCAGCAGGGGGTGTCACCGGCCATCCGCCACATCACCCAATGCCGGACACACCGTCGTTCCCGCCACGCAGGACAAGCTCCTGGAGAACTCCAAGGATGATAAGTCCCTCAACGCCATCACGCGTATGGGCGGCGCGATGGCCGGTGCCGCAGCCATCACTGCCATGGCCCTCGGCCAAAAGGTGCGTCAGCGTCGATGCGGGCAGCGACCACCCCTTACTCCGCCACCTCTCCCACCCCCACCTCGCTGGCCGCCCGGCCAGCGCTGGTTCTGTAGCATGAGTGGGCACACTGCTGCCAAGCAGCATCCTTGGACAGCCTTGCGCCAGCACGGCATGCGAGCGCTAACGCATGGGCCGCAATGTCCAGTTCCCGTCGCTGCTTGACCAATGCTATCTGCTGCTGGCGGCCCACTTCGCAACGGCAGCCTGAGAGCCCCTCTGACTTCGCATCGCCCCGACCCTCTCTCTCTCTCTTTCAAGGACGACATGGGTGCCGCGCGACGCATGGCCCTGGCCGCCCAGGGCGCCACCATGATCGGCGTCGCAGCCATCCAGGTGGGCGCCCCCAATACTACACAGACCAACCCTTTCCTTGCAGATCCCACCGTGTGCGTCTGGCACGGGCGCCTCCCCTCCTCAATTTACACGGGGCCTGCTCGACAGCCATCCTCGCTACCCGTCCCCCTGGGTGCCCCCCACCCCCTTCACGTCGCCCTCTCATTCCCTGCCGTGTGTCGGAGCGCTCGCCCACTCTGCCCCCGCCTCCGGCCACTGGAAATTGAAAAGATCCGGTCCACAAAACTGCGTCCCCCCCTTCCCCCAGGGCGTCGAGACTCACAACGAGCGCACCAAGAAGAGGATCGGCTGGGCCACTACCGCCATCCACGGAGGCGTCGGCGCCGTCTGCCTGTGGCGCGGCCTCAAGGAGGGGGCCGGCAAGTAGCCCAACAGGCCCACCCCTCCGGGCGCCTGTTGGGCAGGCGCGTGATGTAGTGGCCAGGCTGCCAGGCCGGCCCGTTTTGTGGACCAAACCCGGGCGGAGGGGCCCGAGCGCCGGAGCTGGCGCTCTCCTCTCATGGCCGCTCACCCTGCGACGCGCGCACACGCGTGCGCATGCGCCTGCCATCCCGACTCTCCGTGCTCGCGGGCGTTGCGAAGACGCGCGCGAAGCCATACCCCCGGAGAATCCCGTTGTCTGACGAGCCCAAAGAGAGACCGCCAGTGAAGTTGCACTGTACACACGCCCCGCCCGACAGCACCAGGCCGGGCTGCAACCATTCTGAGGCCTTGGTTCAGTGACTGCTGCTTGCATCAAAAACCAATCACGCACAACGGACGTACAGGCACACACATCTACTGCATTTGCGGCAGTACGCACTGCCGCTGTGACCCTGCACGCATGGTACATCATCCAGCTGTAACATAATCTGACAGTCAAGACCGTGGTGGTACTGTGGACAGGAGCCAAGAGTTGCACGCGGGGTTGAAACTCGGTGGACATGTGCTTTTGCCCGCGGGATGGGGGGCCAAGATGCGAGCGTACGGCAGGCCTGGGTTGCAATATCGGCATCGGTGGCTACGGGGCGTACCTCTTGATTTTTCAAACTGCAAAGTAGTCATGTATGGTATGATGCGACCCATGTGCTTGAGCCGAGCTGATGTGCGGGCACGCAGGTCGGCGGGGCCGACTTCATTCCTGTCTTCCGACACCAGCATCTGCACACTCGAGGCACGTCACACTAGAGGCTAGCGACATTCGCACCTCCGGTTTACTATAACGTGTCCTAGTCATATTGCATGTCGCATTAATTTAAACCAGCCCGCTGGAATCAAAGCGCAACCCTCGAGACACGGTCCGCAACAACCGGCAAGAATGGGGAGTATCAAAATAACTGGTGAGCCAGTCGCAAGCTCAGAGACGCGCTTTTGACCCTGGTATAGCAATGGAGTGGCCGGCGCAGCGCCGCGCTGCCCGCACGGGCACTGCCGACGCTGCTGACATGACCCCTCCACGAAAACTCAACGCTCTGACCCGCAATGCGCACTCCGCGGACCCTCATGTATCCATGCACAGTCTCGAAGGTCAACGGTCTTGAACGCAACCAGGCCGACCCCCATGGGCCCCGCAGCGTGTACGTCCGCGCCCGCGCCGGCGCCGCGGCCGCGTCAGGCCCCGTCGGCCCCAATTTTGACGGCAGCTGCCTGCAGCTCCCGGCGCCGCAGGGCGTCGCGGCTGAAGGCAACCTCGATATTGAGATCGAGCTGTGGGAGAAGAGCGCGGCCGCGGCGGACGAGTTCCTTGGCCGCGCGACGGCGCGCGTCGACTTCCCGTCTGCACTGGCGACTGCAGGGGTCGATGCTGACCTGCGGTCGCCGCTCATTGCGCCTACTGGCGCACAGGCTGGTAGCGTCGAGTGGACGATGCTGGTGACGGCAGCGGCCGCCGGGCCACCCGCGGTTCCGGCCGCGTCGGCGCCGCCGGCCGCGTGGCCGCCGGTCGGGGCGCCGCCGTCGCCGCAGAAGCAGCAGCAACCTGGCGCCTACCCTCCACAGCAGGCCGTGCCGCCCTCGCCGCAGCCGCAGCAGCAGCTCGGCGCCTACCCCCCGGCGCAAGCGACGTTGGGGGCCGCCGCAATGGGAGCCACGGCAGCGGCGTCTGGTGCGCCCCGCGCCGACCCGCCGACGAATCAGCAGCAGGGATACCCTGGCCTGCCGCAGCCACAGCCCGGCTACCCCGCGCCACAAGCGGCGTACGCGCAGCAAGCCGCGTACCCACCCCAGCAGGGCGCATACCCGCCGCCCGGAGGTGCACCGTATGGTCAGGGTTCGCCGTACCCACAGCCTGGCCCGTCTGGGGCCCAGCAGGCCCAAGGATACTTCCCTCAGGGTGCCCAGGGCTACCCGCCCCAACAGGGCGCCTACCCACCACAGCAGTACGCGCCCATGCAGCAGCAGCGGCTCCCCGCCGGCTACCCCCCACCCGGCGGCCAGCAGCCGGCGGCGCCCGGCGGCGGGTACGGCGGCTACGCGGGCGCGCCGCCCGCGGCGGCTGCGGCGGCGGCGCCCGCAAAGCCCAGCGTGATGGGCACAGTCGCCGCCGCGGGCGCCGGCGCCCTCGGCGGGGTGCTCGTGGGCAACATGATCGGCGCGGCCCTGTCTGGCCCCCACCATTACGGCGGCGGTTACGGCGGCGGTTTTGGGGGCGGCTATGGGTATGGAGGCGGGTACCCCGGCGGGGAGAACGTCACAGTTATTGACAACAGCACGACCACGTACGTCCAGGAGAACGTTGATAATGGGCAGTACATCCAAGACACGCAGTACGTCGATGCCGGGCAGCAGGACGGCGGCGGCTGGGTCCTGCAGGACGATGGAGGGTTTGACGCGGGCGGCTACGACGACGGCGGCGGCGACTTCGGGGGCGGCGGCGATTTCTGAGGAGCGTCGGCGGCTGCCGCCGCCGGCGCCGGCAGTCGGGCTGCGTGTCTTCTGCTATTGTGTGCTGCGCAGCCCCAGATCACTGTGGCCCCAATTCACTGCGGCGTTGACACTTCCTCCGTTGCTGTTGTTTCACTGATGGTTATGCCAAGAGCAAATAGCTGTTGGTGCACCAGCGCGCGATTGTGCGCTTGCCGCATGCCGCTCGTCGATCCACCGCCCATTGTTACTCTCGACGTTGGTCCCGCATCAAAACTAAGCCCTTGAATTGCTCGCAAGCTGCATTGTCGCCTGTGCGTGCCCTGCCATGACGTCATGCGATCAGCCTTCCTTCTGTCACCCTGCCATCCATTGCACCGGCAGCCTGCAACCCAAACTGCAGCGCCAGCGACTGCTCCCTCATACAAGACTGGCACAGACCTGGCAGGATTTATAATACTTGGCGCTTTACTCTCATTCAACGCGTGTAATGATGACAGCGACCACACGGATGGAAGATCACGAAACAAAACCGGCCACCCCGCCGGCCACGTCAGAAGCCCGCCATGTCCTCCGTGAGCGTCCCCAAGATCAGATCGATCCTCTCGTCATCCACAAACGGCCGCGACAGCCACGTTGCGATCGCCACCGTCAGGCGCTCCCGCAGCCGAGCCTCATCGTCGCCGCCGCCGCCGCCGCCGCCGCCGCCGCCGCCGCCGCCGCGACCGTTGCTGCCGCGGGCCGCCTCGCCGCCGGCGCCAGCCAGGGCTGCGAGCGCGTCCAGCAGGCCCCGCTTGGCCGCCGCCTCGCGTTCGTGCATCTTCGCGACTTCAGAGAGCATCTCGGCGGCGCGTGTCAGGGGCACCGCGTGGAACACGGCGGCGCGCGCCTGCCACCTGCTGTCTGTCAGCCCAGCCGCGGCGCCGTGCGCCGCGCCGCGCATGTCCTGGGGTCGGGAGCGTCGTTTTGCCAGAGGATTGAGGGTGAGAGGCGGGCGCATGGAGGTTTACCTGCAAGCAGGTATTGCTCAGGCAGTTCATGACAACGCACAATGTTCGAGTCCTGAACTGCTTTGATGGGTGCGGCAGGCAGGCAGACCAAGAGCTTTTTGAGTGCAGCTGCACACCTGCGCCGCGCTGGCCAGCTGCCGCCAGCTGCCCTCCAGGCGCGCGAGCGCCGCCGCCTGCCGCAGCCGCAGCTTCGCAGCAGCTGCTTCCAGGAGCCCGGGCTCGTCCTTCAACGCCCCTAAGGGCCTGGATGGGAGGTACTCGGCAGCCAGGATCTGATTAGTCAGATCAATCAAGTCGCGGGTCCCATTGAGGGACGCGTCTGCGGCCCGCGCCCGTGCCGCCTTGGTGGCGGTGAGCGCAACGCGCAAAGATGTCTGCGCGGCGCGGCGCCACTGGCGCTGCTCGAGCGGGGTCGGGGGCGCAGCCGCGGGCACGGGCGCCGCATGAGCAGGGTTCGGGGTGGCCGGGGCAGGGGTGTGCGGCTGCACACCCGCTGCCCAGCCGCCCTCCTCGTCCTGAAAGCCTGCTGCCGGCGCAAGCGACACAGTCTGCAATTGAGATGCTACCGCCAGCGCATCAGCCGCGGACATGTATCACGCCGGCCGCGCGGCCGCTGCTCCTGCCGCCGCACAGCAGCCGCAGCTGGGCGCTGCCTCTGCGGCCGCCAGCCGCGCCGCTAGCGAGCGCCGCCTGCCTCTTCAGCCGCGCCGCCGCGTCACGCCCGTAGCGTCGCGCAGCAGCCGTCCAGGGCGCACTCGACGCGCTGAGCTGGCACGGGCCAGCTGAACGACGCCAGCAGCACGCCGCACGGGAGGTGGCGCGCGGAGATCCCAAGGTCGCGCCGCTTGGAAACTGCGCAGAAGCTGCCCGGCGATTGCTGCACCACTATGAGCTTGGTGCCTGTGCATGGGTGGCAGAGCGTCAAGGAGTGAGGTGCTGCTGCAGCGAAGGTGTGGGGGCGGCGCCACCCTGCAGGCGCCTGCGGCTGCTGGCCAAAAGGGCGGATGCCTTCAGTGTGCGCACGCCTTGGCTGCGCAACACGATTCATACAAGCCTCAGCCTAAACATCAAGACTCTGTTGTGATGCACACACCGCAAAAGTCGTAAGACGTGGGCTGTGATTTTGCTGCAAAGAACGGTGCCACCAACTGCTGCACCTCCGATGCCAGGGATTTGGCCTGGCGTTTGGATTGATGATGCGTGGTGGCATGATCGAAGAGCATTGCAGCATGTGACTATGTGACGATAACATCAAGTGTTCCAGCGGTACACAGGTGGGTCCTTGGCCTTGGCGAATGCCTGCTTGCACCGGTTCCTGCTGCACCTGCTGCGCTCCGAGCGCTGCGCCCCTGCGCACCGTTTCCAGCTCAGCAAAGGGCCCTGTGACGGGCTTGCAGGCGCCTCGGCCCTGCGCGTTCGAAACACAGGGGTTTCAGGTGGTTCACTGTAGAGTAGCCACTGTTTTAAACTTCCAACTGCTGACGGTGTTGCATGCCGTTGGTGGTGCGCCGCTCGCCCTGCAGCCGCTCGCGCTGCAGTGCCTCACCGTCAGCAGAACAAAGCCTGTCAGCAATCCCTCCTGCTGCAGCTCAACCAGACGGTCACTCCAGCTCTCCTGCATGCTCCGTGTCTGCACGTATGGCTAACGACTTGCAGATCATCTAAAGGCGCGGGGGGTGCGAGGTAGATCTGTGCACGTCGACAGCGTAGACAGTTAAGTGGATTTCCTTTGAATTGAGGTTCCTCGCAGTAATACAATATGATACACGTGTGACTGGGCCCTACCGCCCCGCCTCCTGGCTTGAGCGCTTGACGCAAGTCCACATCCTGACACTCTGACGGCAACAGGCTTATCGTGCCCAGTGCAGTGCTGGCAGGAGACCGGGACTGGTCAACATACACCTTGTTCATGATATCTCAGATCAGCACTTGCCGCACTTGCCGACAACTCAAAACGCAGCAGCTGCAGCACGGTACTGCCGACACAAAAATCCCCTGGCAAGATTTTCAGAAACAGTCGCGTGCGATCGCAGATGTTCGTATCCCCCCTTGAACTCGGAGTTCCAGGTGAAATCATTGGCCAACAAGATTAGCCCAGGTGAGAGTGCTGCCATTACCAGGTGCGTTAGGCTGGACGGCGCACCTTTCTTGCAGTAATACACACATTCCTGATTTTTTCTCTAGTGACCGAAATGTGCTGCACATGCGCGGGGTACGGGGAGAACGTGTGCCCCTCCGCGCGCGCGCACACACACACACACACACACACACTCTCTCTCTCTCTCTCTCTCTTGTGCGCACACACGCATGTGCACACACGAACGGCGCTTGTTCCATGTACGTGGGAGTGGCGCGCGCGTGTGAGCCGGCATGCTGGCCACGGGGGACCAACAGAAAAAGTTTACTTGCAGCGCCCGTGGGTCGCGCCGCAAGCGCAAATAGCCAGCAGGCTGCCGCCAACAGCACCAGCCTGCCAAGCCTTATAGCGTGTGCTGTATGCTAGCTGGTGATGGCCCTGGGCTCAGTGGTACTTGCGGTTGCTAACATTGGGTGGACGTGATTGCATGATTGGCATATGTTTGTAGCAGCCACCCACCGCATCTCAAAGCCCTAAACCCCCGGAGAAAGGTGCACAGCATCGCACTGGGCAGACAGCAGGTCATACTGTATATACATACAGGTTTATACATGTTTGTACAATCTGCACGTTCACTGTTTGCTGCAGGCAAATACACAGACCTATGCATCTGTATTTGCACTTTGACGTTACTAACTATCACGTAAACCAGGCTGTCAAGCACAACCAATTGCCTATAATCCACATCCTGTCAAGTTTGCTTTTCAAGTCATTCCTCATCGTAACTTGCCGACGCCTCCCCATCAGAGAAGTCGTCAGCCCACGCCCCCCTGCCGCGCGCGCCGGCGCCCACCGCGCCCCCCGCGCCCGCCCCCGCCCGCCCCTGCACGATGCC